GTTGATCCATAGTTGTTTTCCTGGCCGCTGGATTGGATTGCCCCACCTGCTGGTGTTGATTGTCAGATAGCTGTTCGTATGCCTCTTTTAATTCCTTTTGCGAAAGGAGAGCCAAGTATGTTTCTTCCCCCCTGTGTGTGCTCATGATTATGAAGGAACAAAAAAAAAACGCAGTAAAGCAGTCGTGGGACTCCTCTATTGCATGGGTATTTGCTAGGCCCACCCATCCTCGCCCTATGGCGTGCACCCGCCCTATTGAAAGCATCAGATAAACTTGATGGTTTTCCACCTATGCCAATTATACCCTCAACCGGCCCTATATTATCCCCACTATAGAGGGCCCACCGCTGTATGACGACGGTTTATGCCTTTTGCTTGTATTGTCTGGCGTGCGTCTTTTTAAACTAGCATATGGTACGGCGCTAGACGGCCAACCATGACATTGCTGCATATGCGCGTGTCTTGAGTATTGACATCAACCGCGCTGGCCAGCTGGCCAATGAAAATACGTCAATCTCATCGCGTGTGTACCTGTGCATGGCCGGTGTGCTGTGCTGTGCTGCGCTACTGCTTGCATCTCAGCCACGCCGAGGACCAGGTGAAGACCTTGATGGCCGACCGGGCCTCAAGGACCAAGCAGCTCGACGTTGCTTCGGACAAGTTCATGAGGCTGAGCGGCAACGTGGTTAGGCTTCAGGTTCGTTGTATGTTGTCTATCGTCTTGGCCGTCACTGGCCCCTGCCTGGCTAGTTCGCCTGCGACAGCGTTGGCTGCGTTTGTTGTGTACTGTATTGCATACGGTGTTTGTTCACGGTGTGTTATGATAAGATATATTTTTTCGGGGGGGGGCTGTGTTTGTGAAAACCGTGTCAATCGGCGATGGGTGGCTGGCTCTGTTGTGGTTGATGTCGCCGTCGCTGTTGTTGTTGGAATCGGTGATGTTTGGTGCTGTTGTCTACGTTGGTTGGTACTTTTTCTGCAGCTGCTGGGGCTGCTGCTGCTGTTGTAATTGTTATTGTTGTTGTTGGCAATGCCTCCCTCCGGAATGAGGCAAAGAGACTAGCGCGGCAAGGGGTGGTGCAAGAATCGCAAAAAGCAGACAGAGGAAAAACAGATGCTGTATGCCTATATCGATAGACTACTTCCAAAAGAGGTTCGCGCCTTTTGTGGGAGCTAGGCGAGCTTTTCCTTCCATATGAAGATCCTTCTGCAGGAATTTGGCTGCAAGAACAAACCCGCGAACTTGCTCGTTTCGCCCGCATGCACATCTCTTGAGGGCATCCCACCCTCGCACCTACAGCTCACACTTCTCGGTGCCTCTAGACCAAAGACTCGCTACACCCAGAGAGCTAACGTTTCGTACTTAGTCTTACAGCCCAAAGAAATTTCTTGAGATTCTGGGGAAGGATTAGGATTTCCAAATCTGTGATACACATTTTGTAGTCGTGCCTGCACCACGTCCGTTCTATGTTCATACAGATACTTCGTTTTATGTTCAGTTGAACAAGTTCGAGCAGATGGGTGATGGGGTGCTTGTTAGCTACCTGTGGACAGCGTCTGTGCCTCGCAAAGCGTGAGAGCCGAGGAGGTATCTCACCGACAGTGAGCTCACAAACAAGACCCGAGCAGTATAACAGCAGCAGCAGCAACAGCAGCAGCAGCAGCGGCAGCAGCAGTGGACGTGTACTCGAGAAGATCATAGAGTAGTAGAAAACCACAAAGGTGTTTGTTGAAAGGAAAGGGAATGAGAGCGACAGATAGATGGCCACAGCACACAGCACCTGCACCAGCACCAGCTGTTATTAGAGCTAGAACGGCGTTCCACTTCTCAGATTGAATGGTATACCCGCTTTACTCAGCGGTTTTAGGCGTTTAGACTACTTCTCGAGTGAAGAGGACGCGCGCGTGCGTGGGCGCGTACCCACCCATACCCGGAACACCGGCAACTACCGTTCTATAAAAAAGTGCCTTCTCTGCATTTCTCTGTGTTCTGTTGTTTGATTTGAAGGGGTGCGACCGGATCTGTTTTTCAAACTGGTGTGCCTGATCAACGTGTTCTTCGCTGTTGCACGTGCTACCGTGGTAAAAGAATGTTACAGCTGCTGCAGAGAACATGAAATACTCTCGAAGTCGAACAGCTTCCTGGAAACGGAAGGTGAAAGAACATCTGAACAGTCCCCACCGCTAACGACCAGCCAACAGAAATGTATGACTGTTGATATGGTGACGGAAAATAGCGACGAAGTTGCTGTCTTTTGGTGTGTCCTATCGTGCTCTGGTTTCCGCGGCTTTTTGTCTTGTCTCAAGGTGTTTTATGTTAAAGACAACAACAACAACAACAACAACAACAACAACAACAAGATCGTTTCGCAACCTTTTCCTCGTGCACCACCAAAACGGACGAAACAGAACCATCTCGAGCAGCAGAAGAACGACGCGCTCGACGCCCAGAACAAGGTTAAGGATATCGCCCTCGCAAACCAGGCGCTAAAGGCGGAGAAGGACATGGCGGAGGTACGGTACGGTACATTACGTTACATTACGTAACGGAACGGTATCCTGCGGGTCGGTACGGTATGGTACGGTATCCCGTATATATTGGGAACCGTGTGTGTTGGGAGGAGCGCGTCGTCTCGGTGGAGAGGAAGGCGTTTTCCTTCCTCTTCCGACCCCCCCCGCCCCCCCTTTGCTGCTGCTGCTGTGTGGTGTTGTCGTGGGAGTATGCAATCGAATGTCAGAAGACGATATTAAGTCGTTTGAAGAAAACGAGGGAGAGCCGGGAGTGGGTCCCGTACGCTTGGTGATACGAAACGGCCGTCGGAAACCGTTCACTTTGTTTTGTGGTTTAGGGTTGGAAATCTGTTCGTGCTTGGTTAAGGTTGCTTTCGTTGGCAAATTCGCTTTGACAATTTTGTTTGCATCTGGTGAAGGTAAATCAGTAAAACAAGCGAGAGTTAGGCACTACTTGGTCGGCAATTTCGCTTCACGTCCTTGGTTGCATCTCGGGAAAATAGAACCAAAACAATCAAGAACCAACATCACTTTCGGCGGCAATTTCGCTTGAAACTTTTGTTTGCGTCCGGTGGTGATCATGATTGTGGCTCTGGCTTGCAGACGTCCGAGCGCCGGCTGAGGGAGGAAAACGAGCACCTCCGCAAGGAGGCGAGGGAGAAGAACGCCCTCGTGGACAAGCTTACGGACACGGACCGCGCCGTCGAGGCTGGCAAGAGGGCGGTAAGCCTGACTGACTTTTTGGGGTCCCGGTAGCTTGGATGGTTACGTATATCCGTCTGGCGATCTAGTCTTGCATCAGGATCCCCGTTTAATTCCGCCGCTTTTTTGTTGTTCTCGTTGTTGTCGTCCCGCAGGAGCTTGCTGCTCTGCAGGAGGAGTTGACCCGCATGCGACGCAAGGCCGAGGACGACCGCCGCGCGGTGGCCCAGGCGGAGCTGGAGCAGACGAAGCAGGCCTCGCAGGCCAGGGAGAAGACGCGCGAGCTGGAGGGCAAGATCTCTGCGCTCAAGGCAAGACTTTGTCGAACGTTAACATGAACGTCGACATCTCGAGACCTATTTAGGTTGAAATTCTCTGGTTTTTTTTTCTGTTTCTAGTCTGTTTAGATTTTTTTACTGCAAACTGCGCAAATTCCTTCCGTTTTTTCTCTCTCTCTCTCTCCGTCTCTCTTTCTGTCTCTCTGTCTCTCTGTCTGTCTGCCTGCCTCTCGTTCTCTCTCTCCCTCTCTCTCTCTCTCTCTCTCTCTCTCGGCGCGCCCATTTTTCTTTCTCCGTACTTCCCTCCCAGAAGCTACTGCACCCCTTTCTCTCTACTCACTCTCAGACACACGCACGCACGATGATACATCCCTGTCGCTCTCTCTTGGCCGATGCACTTTTCAAGGCGTCTACCATCTTCTTTGTTTTTGCAAACGAGACTGACTCCCCCAACAAAACCTGAGAGCTGGAACATCCCCCCCCCCCTCCGCTGTCCTGTGGGAACAAAATGCTCCGACCTCTCGAGGACGCGTGGTCAATGGTCTACCCACTGGCATGCAAAACACGATAGTATTCCCCCCCCCCCCACTGGTCAAGATTCTTGCCTCTAAGGCACGCAAAACATGAGAGTAACCCCCCCCCCCTGGCAAAAACAGGCGGAGGGCGAGAAGCTCACGGCCGCGGCCGCCGCAGCCGCAGCCTCGGAAAAGGTCGCGGCAACGAAGGCGGTGGAGCTCAGCGCTCGCCTCAACGAGGCACGGGCACGCCTCGTCACCGGTGCAGGCGGCGGGGCCGGGGCCGCGGGCGGCGGGGCTGGCTCTGGAGGCGGAGTCAGCGGCGGCGGTGGTCTGGACGACGGCATGGCCGGGCAGCTGGCGGAGGTCGGGAAGCTTCAGATGGAGCTCGAGGTGGGCGGCGTTGTGGGGTGGACGGGGGTATGGGTTAGCGTCGGATGGGACTCCAGGTGGTGTATCTCCCACCACCGTTTCACACGTCAACGCCCGAATTTTGAGTTCGACATTTGGACAATCTTTTGAATTGCGGCCCGGCTTTATTTGTGTATTCCCCAACGCCGTTCGCTCTCGGTCGACACCCGCCCGCATAGTGGCAGTCCCTGAAGCCCCCCCGAACTGGACAAATTGATGTTTATTATTTGCGGCCAGCTCTTTACCTGTGTATCTCCCAACGCCACGTTCCAATACCCGTAACGTGACAGGCAGTCCTTGAAAACCGCCCAGATTTGACTTTCACCACTCGACATTTCTTGATTGCGGCCCGGCTTTGTCTACGCATCTCCCAACGCCATTCCACTCGCTCGAACGTGACAGTCCATGAGGGCCGACCTCAAGGCCAAGACAGAGGCCCTGTCGACCAGCGAGAGGCAGAGGGGGCAGTACGAGGCCATGGCCAAGTCCAAGCAGAAGCACGTGGAGGCGCTCGAGGCTGCCGGCAAGGCCACCAAGGAGGAGCTGGAGGGCAAGGTTAATGAGGCCCTGGCGAGGGCACAGGCTGCCGAAGGTGAGTCGCTCTTGTTTATTTTTGTTCATTACTTTGAGCTGTATCAGATTCGTTTCTTGTAGAACATTGATATGGGTGTGTTTTGGTTGTGTGTGTTCGTCCCATCTATTCTGGCGCCGGTTTACAGGCGTTTCGGCGTATATATCTGACATATCAGCCGTATTTTTTTCCTTTTTTACCTCCGACCCCCTCTCCCCCTCCTCACAGCCGAAGCACGGTCGACCAAGACCGGACTGGCGTCTACAGTGGCGGACCTAGTGAAGGAGAAGGAGATGGCGGAGGCGGAGGGTGCCGAGAAGCAAAAGATCGTGGAGAAGCTTAAGAGCGACCTCCGGCACGTGAGGAGCCAGGCCGGGCAGGAGGCACGTCGGACGGAGGACGTCAGGAAGGAGCTAGAGGTGTGTGTCTAGATGTGTGTGTGTTGTTGCTTTTTTACGGTAGGAGGCGGAGAGAC